TATAGGCTAGGTAGTTAAAACAGCTGCTTCTTACGTTCCTTCATATGTACTGTGGCTCCCTTTGCCAACACCGTCAAGCGTTAGTAGGCAAGAACTAAAGTATAAACATCTGCAACACCTCTCTCCGTTTTGTTAACATTCTTTCACACATTTTACTGTTAACTCCCCCAAAAAGGCAGATTAAGATTGTAAAAATAGCGAAATTGAGAACATCTGTGCAATAGCATCGCAAAACGGAATGAAACATGAATAAACAAAAACATGGCGAAAGTGGCCTGGGGTTGTTACACTGTCAGATCATTTTTCCAAGCCCAACATCAAGGCTTTTGTTACAACCAAAGCGGTCATTTGCATGGAGAACCAACAGGGTTTCTTCTTCAGCGTTTCCCAGATCGTAACACACACTCACTCTCTACCATCCACACAGACAAATCTTCCCTCTTGCAAACAAACAATACTGATAAACACACACCTATTCGCAACGACAGAATCTACAGACTCCCCCGAACACTCTGAATACAGAATAGTTTGCTGCTGCAGCGTAATTTCGGTATAAAAATAACAGACAAACCTTTGGAGCGCTGCCCCAGCCGGAGTTCCTCTCTCTCTCCCTCTGCTCTGCTGTTACTGACAAGATCAGGCTGAGATTAACAAGTCCATGCTACTCTATCAACCTGACTCCTCAGGTTTTCCTATGCACTTCATTAGCTTTAAATTCACTGCAAACTTTTCCCAAAGTTAAAATAATGAATTAGTAAAGAGCAAAGCAGGGATGGGGGGGCAGAAGAGAGGAAAAAAGAGGGGGAGGGGAAGAGGGAAAACAACCACAGCCTGGGCGATCACTAGAGCAGTTCCTTTCATGCTGCTGTATAGTTAAGGCTGTGTCAGCACTTTCACTCCAAACACCCCATTTTTAGGGTGAAATAATGCTTGCAGGAAAATACCTAGCAACACCGTTCATTTTAAAAATCATTTTAAAAGATCATTCCTTTTTTTAAAAAATTGATTTAAGAATTTAAAAAAATTATTTAAGAAAAAAAAGAAAACAGCATTCATGCTTTCTAGCATTTCCAACAACCACAACCAATAATATTTTTTTTCTAGCAAATGAATAAAACACTTTCTTTAAAAATTTAAGTTCTACCATCCTTTCTACTCACTTGCAAAGAAAAACTAAACAACAGCACTTCTAAGGGTCTTTTAAAAATTGAGTTATTAGTGTTCAAAACTACATGAATAAAAATTGTCTTAAACTTTAAAGCAAATGCACACAAGAGGCACTGGTTAATTGTTTAGAATACTTAAGTACTTTGCCCAGTAGAACTGCAGAACAGTTAGATTAGAGGTCATAAACTTCTTTCCCCCACACTACTCCATCAATCTTTCTAGGAATGAAGAACAAGATTAGTCTTTGATGCTATAAAACTTGGTCTTGCTACTGAGACCTCCAAAAGCTGTGAGTAAATTGATTTTTTTTAAGATGAAAAATCCTTGCTTGGAATGCCTGATTAATATGCAGATGACCAAACAGTATGGGTCCCTAGTATTTCACTATTTAAACTCAAAATACTCCTCCCAAAAGGGAAAGTTATACTTTACCTCCCAAAAGAACTTCCCAGCTAATAGTGGAAGTGTTTCATTTAAGATGCACGGCAAATACAAAACAAATTCCTTAATGTTAAAAACAAAAATTTTAAGCTACATGGTCCCTCTTGTACAAACTTCACAGAAGTAAAACACTAGTGCTAGCTATTCCATGTCTTATGTTACAATGTGGTGATTAGCCTCAGTGTGGTATAAAGCCAGATACCACTTCAACATCTAGAGGTCTGCGGGCTTTCACTAGCTCCTTTTTAATTTAAGCTCTAATTCCTAATAGAAAATTTTTAAAAATATTCTGAATATGAGACCTGTAATCACTTCCTTATAGAATGTTTTTCTAAACCCCTTGATAAATCAGGAAAAGTTTCTGTTAATTAATTTGTTTCAGATCACTTTCCACCCTACTGGATGCTATAACTTTAATGCTAACTGAAGTATACAAAGTGCAATATACAAAGATTTTTTTAAGACAAAGTATAAGATATGTGTTTTCTCAAATTTTAAGAAAATATTTTATGCGGCTCCCAATTAACCTTATGATCATTTTCATAAAAAGTGATAAATCAGCTGAAATTCAAGGTGTCTTAAAACTTGCTTTTCTTTATTTTCTATCCAATTAATCTTCAGTATGACCGTAGCTTAACAACATAACACTAAGTTAAAGAAAATAATTTACCAGCTCACATTGGATGCCAACTGCCCAAAAGATAAAATTTGAAAACCAACCATTAAACAAATATCTTATCTATAAATTAATCTGAAATGCTCAGTCTTTTTCTCTTAGTTTTAATAGGAAATCAGACTTCCTAACCTCAGATGAGAAACTCAAGCTAAGAAGCTTTCCACGAAATCATTCTAAGCCAACAACTGTAACCTTAAACCGATGACATGCTTACAATGCACAGACTATATAAATATTTATACATGCTACCAAGAAGGGTAAATCAGTTGACATTCAGCAATTAAAGCTGCGTCTCTGAAGTTGCAATACTTAAAGGTTAAAGATTAGACATGCTCCCTCTTGTGTTAAACTAAGAATGCATGCTGTTTTCTCTGACATGCCAGTGCCACAGCCATCTGTTCCATTAAGTAAACCCCTTAAACTTTGGCTACTCATTTTCTCACCAAATCTTCTAGTTTAAAAGTAAATTAACTTTATGCCCTATACTATGGTACATTACCTTATGGGGGGGTACCAGGAATATTATAATTATTATTTACCGCATAACATCAAAAATTGCATCGTGCACAATTAAATCCTTAACGCCAAACATAAACAAAGTGCCAGGAAGATGAGGCTTGCCTTCAGTTCACATGGATAATAATCCATATAATGAATAAACCTTGTCTCTCAAGCAACAGAAACCTAAGTGTTGGAAACCAGAAAAATCTCCTTAGCCTGGTCAGATTTCTAATAATCACTCAGCTAGGGCTATAATAAGGCCAAAAAGAGTACCTTTTATAGCTTCCACAAAATGAATGGGGTACAGCGCTGTAGGTACGAAGTTTCGATCAGACAAGATTTCTGAAGCTTGGAGTTTATAGCAGCTTTTTGACAGACGTGGGGGAGGAGGGGGAAGTCCCGAAGGAATAAGTAGGAATTTTGGAGAAGAGAAATCAAGAAATACACTTAGAGTGACAACACGAGGTGGCCGCCACCTCGAAGACACATGCAGGTCAATGGGTTAATTGTACCGTCGACCCCGTCGAAGAGGGGGATCCGAAACCTCTGCAGCCGGTTCGGCCAGCGTTTCACCCCTGGCATTTCTGTACTGGGGGGGGGTCTCCCTCCCCCAGAGGCCCATCCAGCACCGGCTGCGCCCCAGGAGGCGGCAGCGGGAGCAGCGGCGCTGGCGCTGGGCCGGGGATAGGGAGAGCCAGAGCCCAGCCGCAGTGGAGGGGCAGTGGGGGGCCGGCTTTCGCCCCGGAAACCTGCTCGGCTTGTTCCCGGACCGGGGAGAGGCAGAGAAGCATTCTTATTAAAAAGAGGGAGGGGCGGAATTGATGCAGAGAAGCAAGCCGTTTCGGCGAACTTTTCGGGAGAGTTCTCGGGCCCGCCCCGAGAGCGCGAGAGGACATTCCTGGAACTCCCGGCCCGCCCCCGTCCCGAGATCCCTCCGCCTCCTCCTTCCCCTCCGCCCCCTCCTCCTTCTGTCGAAGGGAACGGAAGGGCAGCTCGCTCCGCCAGAACCAGAGCGCGCACTGGGTGGGGGGTGGGGAAGAAACTGGAGCGCGCAAGGCGGGAGCGCGCACGGGGGGGCTGGGGGCGGGGCGGGGCCGGGCCGAGCAGCGGTTGAGGCGGTTAGAACGTTAGGAACGTCTTAGAGGTCCCGGCCGCCCACTCCGGAGCCGGGACTGGGGGGTCCTGCCCACCCCCATTCCCTCCCACCTTCCTGCGCTCAGGGCCCAGACCCGCCTCCCTTCCTGGGTCCTGGCTGCTCTGCAGGTCCCCTCAGCAGCTGCCTTCAGCTCCGCGTGGGAGGCAAAGAGGAGGGGAAGGGACAGGGGCAACAAGAGAGGGGGGACTCACTGGGTTCTGAGGAGGGGGTCTCGCCAGGGTTAATTAACCCTGTTCCCGCCACCAGTGTCGCAGCCTCGTGTGTTCAATTCACTCCCCTCCTCGACACCCCACCCCCCCCAGCTTCCACACCCCCCTTTACCCCTCCCCCCACCCAAGCAACTTACTATCTCCCCGAACACCGCAAAACTCCTCAAACTCCCCACCCCCTCCGGGCACGCCCCCTCTTCCTACCCACCCCTATGCCCTAGCTCCCGCCTCCGCTATAGCTCACACGTTTGTTTTGCCGAGATAGCTGTCAATCAAAGAGAGCTTTCTCTCCCTATTGGGCCTAGACCCTGCCAGTACATTCCGGGAGTTGCTGGTTTCCCACCCTAAAGGTGGTCCTTCATAAGGGCGTCTCTGATTGGCCCCTATTACTATCTAAGTCTCGGAGTAGGGCGTCTTCAGTAGCCCAAGCAATTTTACACGCACGTTCTTGGAGCTAGAAACATCTTTCGCCAGGGTCTCCATGTTCAGAATAAGATTTGTCATTGGCCCCGGACCCTAACCATTAAATTTGTGGGAACTGGTAACGTCAATCAAGTCTGGCTGGCTGGACCCACCTATCACGTCAGAGTCAGGCGCAAACTAGGTCCCTGATTGGCCCCTGGGCGACCTCCAGGCCAACTGGGAATCGTCACTGCACCCCTGGCGTCTCAAAAACGAAATACGCCTTCCTTCCTTCTTTTCGGTCCAGTAAAAAACATCTTCATAGCCTACCCTTTCCTATGATTGGAAGAACTCCATGAAAGGAAGGAATTGATTGGGCCACCCCGACGTCCTTTCACGCAGCCCTGCCCAGTTCTGTACGTTCTTCCGCCACCACAGGCGGTTGGGCGGAAGCGATTGGCTAAAACGCCTGCTCCCTCCCGGTGATGGGTGGAGGCGAGGTGGGAGGGAAAGGATTGCTGTCTGTTACCCGCCATGCACCGCGCCCCGGCGTTGGCTCCCTTTGGTCTGTAATGTTTTGGCCAATCCAAAATGGCGGTGCAGGAATCAGCTGCTCAGCTTTCCATGACCCTGAAGGTGCAAGAGTATCCAACCCTCAAGGTGGGTGCCCAGGAGCCCCCCATGGGGAGAAAGGAAGCCCAGCCACCCCCCTCCGGGAGAGAGACTGGCTGGTCAGGGACCACACCATCCCGCCGCCCAGGGCGGGTGGGGACTCGCCTCCCGCACTAGAGCGGAGGGCGCGGGGTCTGTCCACGCCCCCGGCGGCCCGTGCTGGGGCGGGGGCGGCGAGAGCGGGCTGGGGGCGGGGGACCCTCCAGCTAGGGGAGGGGCCGGGAGGATGGCGTCCTGGCCGGGATGGGGGTGGGGGGCGGCTGGGGCTTCCCCGCCCCCAGCTGGTCTGGGAAGGGTTAATGGGGTGAGCGTCACCAGGGGAGGAAATGAGCCTGGACAGCCCCCCACCTGCCTCCTGAATGTCCTGACTTTTTACAGCCTTTTACATAAAATAACGACCCGAGGGTCCTTGTAGGGTGGGGGACACGGGGCTGTGGAGCGAGAGTCAGCGAATTCAGAGCCTTTAGAGGGCTAACAGACCAGAGACTTGGAGGATCGTAAATGTCGAGCTGGAGCGCATCTTAGAGGTCTTTCAGCCCAATCCCCTCCCTTTTACTGACGAGGAAACTGAGGTCCGGGGAGGGGAGGGGAATTACCCAATGAGAGGTAGGATTTGAACCCAGGACGTAGACGCTATTGCTTCCATCTTGGAAGGAATCTTAGAGGTCATCTAGTCTGACTCTCATTTTACAAATGAGAGAACGGATATAGATTACCATACACAGGTATTCGATTACAAGGTAGGGATTTGAATCTAGGTTCTTTGACCCCAGATTTAGCATGCTTTCCACTCACTGTACTTGGCTTCCTCGTCCAGTCCTGAGGGAGAATAAATCAGAGGGTTTAGAGCTAGAAGAGGCCTTAGAGGTCATCCAACTCGTTCCACGAATGAGAAAACTGAGGTTTGGAGAGGGGGAGAAGACCCAAGGTTACACTGTAATTAGACCAAGGAATTTTCACCAGATGTTCTGACTTCACATGTAGGACTTTTTAGGTTACACCACCACTGGGTGAGAAGGATTTGTGGGAGGTGGGGAAGGAAATCACTTGGAAAGTAAAGGAAAGATTGTCTTGATGAGGTCGTTTAGAGCCCAGCTGTTTCCAAGTAAACATCGCATGACAAGGTGATGAGTTCTAGCTGAGTTCTTGGGAAAAAGAATCCTAAAAGGGGGGAGGGAGGGACATCTTTTACGGATTTCATGACTTTGTCCAGTATACTCCATGTCACTCATAAGATCACTAATTCCTTGAGTTGTTGGGTATTGTGTGTAGGGCCCTATGCTCTACCCTGAAGGAGGTGAAAATTGTGGATAAGACACAGTTCTTATTCTCATATTACAGTTTCTTAGGATTTGATAAGGTGCAAGCACAGATAATCATGCTTCAGTGACACCTGATTTCATCTGTGTGAATGCGGTCCTCTGATAGCAACCCCTCTGTGACCTAGTAGAAAGTCTTCAAGAGTTTTTGTGACCAGAAATTCATCACCATACAGACATTTTGGGGATGAGCTTCTCTATATTATGCTAGCCATCACCAGACCCATAAAGTCTGTCTTACAATATAGATACCTATGTTTCAATATTTCAGTGATTACTTGAGATTCTTTGCGCGTGGCTTTTAATCTCCTTTAGTGCCCTTTTACTGGTACTCACCTGTATCAGGAATGCACATTTTTTTCATACTTGCCTCTTACAATATCCGATTTCCTCTAAGTCAGGAATTGGGTGCTATCACTGACATGAGGACTTTGTTCAGTTGTTAGTGCCTTCTGTGTCTTGAAATTATTTTTCATTGCTTTGTGTATACTCTGTATTTGCTAAATTGTACATATTGTATCCACTTTTCCAATAGAATATCAACTGCTTACCGGCAGGGACTATTTTTGTTTCAATCTTTGTATACTAGTGAACCTTTAATAAACATTTGTTGAATGAAATAGATTTAAAGTTGGAAAGAACTTTAAACACCATCTTGTCCACCCCCTTCATTTTATAGATGGGGAAACTCAAGCTTAGAGGGAAATGATTTTCCCAGGGTAACCCAGAGAATAGTTCTCCTTTGAATCCGAGGCCAGTTGAACACACTTTAAAGTTGTATGGCACTCTCCATTCAATGAATAGTTTTGTGACCTTGCAGAAATCACTTACCTACGTCACATACCATTATCACAAACTTTAACTTCTCTTAGTAACATGAAACAAATATATTTCTTAATATATTTGCACCACACATACATAACAGATCTTTGATCATTAATAAATAGAATGCAGTGTCTGAGATTTTTGGATCCAGCTCGATAAAATTTCAAGGTCATGAGATTATTAGAAATATATTTAAAAGGCTTTTTGGTTTGAAGATTAGTATAGCACAAAGAAAAGAACACAAGATCTGGAGTCATCAGATCTGGATCTAAATCCCCACCCTGCTACCTTACTACCTGTGTGACCTTGAGCAAGCTCTTTCCCCGGGGCCTCAGTTTACTTATCTGTAAAATGAAAGGTTTGGACCAGCTATGCGCCAAGATCTCTCGCAGCTCTGAATTACCAATCAGCAGAAGTAATGGATTCAGTTCCTGGCAGGCCACAGCTTTGTTCCCTTCCAGAAGAACAGGCTGCACTCCTTAATCCTGGTGAACCATTAAGGCAGTCACAAGTGCCACTGAATGAGAGTGTTTATGAATTAGAGTAACTCTTTCTACCCTATTGGAAATCATTCAGAGGATTATTTGCATAATGTCAGTATTGGAAGGATAGTACATGCATGAGGTTCTAATACACAACAAGTATTTGTGTGTCTACTAAGGAGTTAGATGAGAAATAGAACCACATCTGTGTTTCACGCAGTGTAGGTGAATTGATGCAAATGTGGAAGATTAGTGTCTCTTTTAGTCCAAATAGGTGATTATCATAGAAAAAGAAAAGTGTGCTATGACTTTACCTAGTGACAGATTTGAAATAAGGTAGAAGGGGTTATGAAAGGGAGGAAGAAGAACACTAAATTCTTCTTGATTCTCAGTGGCCCTTTTTATTTGCTGACAATAAATGGAGTTGGAATCATAGCTTTTCTTGGATTTTGGCACAGCAGCACTATGTACACTTGAGCTACTGAATAAAGAAATTGCCTTGCAGAAGAAACTTCCCTAACTCTTTTCGTGCCACAGTTTAATGGAAAGTAAGCAGAAAGTAAATTAGCTTCCCCAAAAAGAGGAACGTTGGTAGGTATTTGTTACTTAATAATCTAAAATATATCATTTGGATCAAAGATCTATTCAACATTCTTTGATTAAATAATGACTGACAGCTAAAAGAGAGGATTGTAATGGCATGTAAAGTAGGCTTGCCAGGTGCAGACTTATTTTGTTTGTTCATTTTGTTTATTTAAAAAAATTGTAGCAAAAAAATTTGCCGTCATGATGAACTGAATTTCCCCTATTTTTTCTACCAAATTCTTTATGTATGTCATATGTGATTCCTTCCTTTCTTTTTGACCCTTAGTTGATAGTGCATGGCATGTGGTAAGCACTTAATGAATGTTTGTTGATGGGTTATTTCATTTCTGAATTAGCATTTCTTAGAATACTTTTAGGAATGAGATGCAGTAAAAGAAGAGCGTCAATGGGGTGCTCTAAGGAACTTGGGTTTGGGAGTAATAGTTTTTCGATGATGGCAAAATAAAGAACAGGATGTAGTTCACAGAATAGAATGGAGTTGCAAAAACAGATGTTTCTGTGAGCCTTGGTATGAAGAGTATAAAGTGCTTAGGATGAAATTTCTATCTTGGCTGTAGCTTCTCAGCTACATAAGATCATAAGATGTATAGAAGAAATCTAAAGAAGAGAATATGGCTGGAAGTTGTGGTTTTGGAAAGTTTGAATTGTGTTTTGCTGTCTTCATGCTTACTTTTCTATCCTCTCCCCAGTGACAGGATAGACAGGTCCTTTCCCAAGACAAGGAAAGGAAACAGCAACCAAATAATGGAGATGTGTATAATGGATTATTACTTTGTGATAACATCATGTGGTGGGAATTTGCCTTTGGTAAAAGTGAATATCTGCAAGACTGAATTTGTGTGTGTTAATATTCAAGGTCATGAGTTAAAATTGTTAATAACTTATAATCAGAGTTTTTGGCACAGAAATTTTGACACAGGTGTTTAATGATTGATTTAAGAAGATTAAAATCATAATTTTGGGCACAGAAATTTTGACACAGGTATTTAATGATTGATATAAGGAGATTAATGTGGTTTTGCAGAAGGAACACCAAGTTCCTTGGTGTTTGAGACCTGGCTCAGCAGTTTACTAGCTGTGTAATGCTTCTGAGGGTGGGCCCTTGCAGCTCAAAAGAATCCATCTTGGGCAAGTCATTTCATGTCACTGGGCCTCAGTTTCCTAGTTAATTCAGCAATGATTTATTAAGTACTTACTAAGTTGTGGTGTTAAAAAAAATAGTCACTGTCCTTAAGTTTTTATTCTACAGGATAGAAAGAATGTGTATATGGAGAAGTACATACAAAATCTATCAGAAGCATTTTGAGGAGGGGAGGGCACTAAAAACTGGGGGATCCAGGAAGTCCTTCTATAGGAGGTGAGCTGGAGGCAAGCCTCTTGAAGGCAGCTACGAATTCTAACAGACAGGGAAAAATGATCTATGTGTGGCGAGACAACTCGTGTGAAAGCCTCAAAGGGAGGGAACAGCAAAAATAGGCAGCGGGGTTGATGCTCAGTGGGTAGAAGACAGGGCCTAAAGTCAAGAAGACCTGAGTTCAAATCCACGGTCAGACATCTGCTAAATGTGTGACATTAGACAAGTCACTCAATCTCTGTTTTCCTGCTTCCTCAACTGTAAAATGGAGATAACAGCACCTGCCTCCCAGGGTTGTGAGGATCAAATGAGATCTTTGTAAAGCATTTAGCACTGACACATAATATGCCCTATATAAATGCTTATTCCTTTCCTTCTCTCTGGCTGGAATGTTGAGTGTGT